AATGTTGGAATTCTGTGTAAAATATCCGAGATCGTAAGCGGGTTTACGGGCACTCGTAAGATCGGAACTAAAAAAGGCAATTCTGTGTCCGCCCGGATCTTACAAATTCTCGGAAGTCCCTACGGCTTGTCGTAAATTCTTACGGTGACAGATTATCTGACCTAAACTTATCCGAGCGCATCAAAATGAATAATATGCGCTTCTATTTACATATTGGTGCTCTTCTCGAAGAAGATAATGATCGGTAAGAATCAATATTTAAAAGCATAACGCAATTTTCATAAACAAACTTCATATAACATTAAAATTTGCGTATAATTATTTTTAAGTAATTTCATGAGAATAACGAAGAGACAGTTAAGGGACTCGCTTAATGTTTTTGAAACAAGCGAGAAAGACTTTAAACAAATGTTTCGTTTGGACAAAGTAAGTGTAATGGGTTTGATCGAGGAAATAGGCCCCCATTACCAAAACACAGGAAGTATTCCGCTTCATTTAAAGGTAATACCTAGGTATATTTTTATACATATCATTTTCAATACCTATGCTGTAATAACTACAAATTGGTACCTACAGGTACAGATACATAAGAAGGCGAAAGATGACGCATCCTTACTATTCATATTCTATTAATTTGTGCGCCACTGAGTGGGTTCTGCAGTCTGCGTATAGCCATTGTTTAAAAAATGGTATAGCCCGCTGTCGCCTTCTTATGTGCCGGTGCCAGTGCAATAATTACCCAAATTCGACAGGTTCTAACAACACTAAACTTTGTTGCCACTGGTTCATTTCAAAATCCTGTAGGAAGTAGCTGTTGGATTTCTTTGAGTCAGCCATCAGTTTCAAGAATAATACACGAAATAACATCTTTAATATCACAACATTTGTTGCCAGAATGGGTTCAATTTCCGACTGACTTCGAAACAAAAAATAATATTAAACAAGGGTAAAACATTAAGCACATAAGTATTTTAGATAAAACCTTCAACTTTATTCAGATTTTACAACAAGTGGAATGTACGTGGTGTTCTTGGAGTTGTAGATGGAACTCATGTTGAAATTCTTGCTCCACCTACGAATGACGTTCACCATCCCCCTTTTGTTTATATAAACAGAAAAGGAAAACACTCAATAAATGTTATGCTCGTATGTTAAAGGATAAGACGTATAGAAAATGAATATTAATTATTTATTTTGTAAAATTAGATTTCGGATTCTAACACAAAAATTATTGCTTGCAATGCCAGATATCCTGGGTCCGTCCATGATTCTGCAATATGGCAAATGAGTAATATTAAAACTTATTTAAAGCGGGAGTATGATAATGGAGATAAGTCCACGCATTTACTTGGTATTTAAACATATTTAACAATGTTATAATAGAAAAAAAACAATTTTTTTTACCAAATTTACAGGTGATAGCGGATACCCCCTTGAACCATGGCTATTTACTCCCTTTTCGAATTTTGAGCAAGGAAGCCCAGAAGAACGTTTTAATAACCAATTCAAGACGGCTCGAAATGTTATTGAAAGAACCAACGGCATATTAAAAGGACGTTTTAGATGTTTGTCAAGGCACAGAGTTCTTTTATACCATCCGAGTAGAGCAGCTAACATCATTTATTCTTGCTGTGTTCTTCACAATATTGCTCTCCGGGCAAGGATTCCTCTTCCGGAGGAAGAAATAGAATATAGAGACGAGATTGGCATAGGTAAACGTTTTCATGTACATCATTACCTCAAATAAAATGTACAATGTTTTTAGAAGGCAATTTGGAGTACAATGATGTTCTGCAAGAAGGGAGGGCTACAAGAGCTAGATATATAAGAAATAATTTATTATTATAAAATACAAAAAAAAAACTCCAAGACATTTATGTTAAAAAAAAGACTATTAATCAAAATCAAATTTAAAGTTTTGGTTTTCAAATTTATATTTTGCCACTTCAAATTTAAGTCGAAGAAGCTCGTTTTTGTTTTTTTCCTTTTTACACTTTATGTACTCTTCGGAAAATTGTTTTACAATGGAACCTAATTCTTCAATATTTTTTTCGGATTTGTTCATTGTATTCAATAAGCTTTCTGTCACAATCGACAATGGCTTTTGCCGAGGTAGAGTTTTTGTCCCAGGTTTTTGCGGTGGAACGGGTGTAACAGCCGGTTCAATTTCAGGTGGTACTATTACTGGTGTATCATCTTCAACCGGCATTGGTTCAGTAATTTCCTCCTCAAGAGGTATTATCATGGTATCTGAATCTAATAAAATTCCATCGAAGTTTGTAACACCCAACGCACCGGTTACGGTCACTTTTCCCCATACACAGAGTGCCCGTTCTTCCATGTCTGTTAGTGTTATACTGCTTTGAGGACCTGATCCAGTCTTTAAACGGTGCTCATTTAATTTCCTATATTTGTTTTTCACAAAGTACTTCCAATCTGTAAAACGCTAAAAAAGATGGTTATTTAAAAAAAGCGATGAAGAGATTTAAAATAATGCTACAAAACTTGTGCTGAAGTTTGCTGTATAAATCATATCGTTTTTACCTTTTTCCAATCAGCTACAGTCAGCTGAGGCCCATCTGGATCAGAATTTAACTTTTCTGACATTTCACCCCATTTATTTTCGATGTAATTTACATCTAGCGATGGGTTGATTGTATTGGATCGCATATGGTAGTCATTTTCCATGTAATATAAGTAAATATTATATTGATTAGTTGTTGTGTTCTTGGTTCTCTTTCTCTTTTTGTTTTCTAAGCTAAAAAAATGTAAATTGTCATTTTTAGGTTAGGATATTAATTTTTTTTAAACAAAGAAATAACATTGTAAATGTACAATGTAATCTTCAATAATAAAATCTTACCTCATAATGCTACTCTATATTCAATTTTACTTCAGTAAACTGTCCAAACGGCAAGGAAACCAAGGGATAAATGGTGTACACTACCGGCTTGTCAATGAAAACAATAGAAGTGAAGTTGGTTGCGATCGGAACGGCTCGGTAACGGCGACTCGTAACGCTTTTCATTACGAGTCGGCGCACAGAATTGCAAATTTTAAGGTTTTGTAAAATTTCGCTTACGATCAACTTATAAGCTACGGGCGTACGGTTTTACGGTTTAACGATTGCATATGTACAGAATTCCAGCATTAGTTAACTGACAGTCATATGAACCCGAATAACTTCCAACGTATGTCTGTGAAATTAGCGACGCAGGTTTTAAGTCCTAGTGTTGCTGCTACTATTAGAACTTGTACAAATTTGGGGTTGTTGAAGAGCAAAACAGCATTAAGCACGGCTAACTTTGTGGAATTTGCGAATCAATTATTTGATGGCTTTGTTATAACAATAAATAAATGCAATCACACAACTACGTAATTTAATCATTATAAGCGCACTTCTTTCTAATTCACAATGAATTGAAAAAAAAACGGTCTTCAAATAAAGATTAAATAAAATATGTGGGCCGTTCTCTAACAGGGGTTTGAGTTCTGAACTGCACTTTTGTTGCAATGTGTGCAGAATTGACTTAACAGTGCTGTTGCTCAGTTCCGATCCATCCAAAATGGATATAAATACAGCTAGTGTTTGTAACGCAATTGTTGGAGACGAGTGGCAAAAAACAGCCTTGGAAAAAATGGAAATGGGTGCAAAACTGGAAGCAGATTATGCGAAAGTAAAAGGTGAAGTGGACGAGAATGGAGTACCATTGAAAACCGCAGTAGTTGATACGTTCATACAGATGTAACTACACAGCATTATCAGGTGTAGCTGCCATAGTTGGAAAATGATTTGTACATCGCGAGTTAGAAACAAATACTGCGTGATATGCACTAAGGCAAAAAATAAAAGTAAAGACCCACAGCCGCACACATGTTCCAATAATTACGAAGATACAAGTATGGAGGCTAATATTTCTAGTGGAGGGGCTTAGAAATAGTGAGAGTTTGTACGGAATCAAATACTAATTAATTGCTGACGGTGAGAGCAGCACATGTAAGAAAATTTTGGAATCACGACCGTATACCAACATAACAGTCGAAAAGATTGAATGCCGCAATCACCTTCTCCGCAATTTCTGTAACAAATTATCAAATTTGACAGCTGATACAATCCATTAAAAATCCGAAAAATCGTAGAAGTAGACGAATGCAAAATGCGGTTATAACAGCGGTTGCCGAAAATAAAGGTAAACCCGATGGAACAGCTTTATTAAGAAATGACATAGATAGAGAATTCTGTTAACCACGTGTTCGGTTCTCAGAGTACGGTGATGATGGTGAGAATTTCAGGTGCAGAAAATGAATTTCTTATTATCTCTGCAAAAAAATGAAGAAGAACGAGGCTCCTTAAAAGAAGAAACGGTATTGCAAGCAGCTAGTGGGCAGTGGTTAGAATATAGAAAAAGATACTGCTTCAAATCTTTACAAAGTATGTTCTCGGCGTCCATCTACAAGCTGCAGTAACAGTAAAAACGAAGAAAAGGCTATCGCAATTTTACAAAAACAGGAAAACGTTCACATAAGACAGTGTGGGTTGTTAGTTTACCGTAAATATCCGTTTTTAGGAGCTACACCTGATGGACTCATTGGCGAAGATCTCGTTGTTGAAGTCAAGTGTCCTTTTTCGCGTGAAAACAATAAAATTTTGGACATACAATCCTGATTGACACCATGAACACAAACAATATATTGTGGTACTATTAAATGCAAGGCCAACTTCAAATTGCCAAGAAAAAAGGTTACTGTTTTGGTGTATGGAATGGTGACAACTTTCCAATGAAAGTTGCTTATGTACGGAGAAACAATCAGTTTTGGCAGGACAAAATGTTAGCTAAACTAGTAGCGCATTATACCGAGTGTATGTTGCCCGAATTGGTGGATCCAAGATTTACACGAAGGGAAAAGTTGTTTATTTTGATGACATTCAATCAGGGGCGCCCCCAGGGGGGTGCCAGTAGAGGCAGTTGCCCCCTCTGATTTTGAGTGAAAAATATCTTAAACATATCATTTGAAGAAAATGACACATAACCTATTAACAACTGCAGCGAAGAGGTAATTAATTATTGTGCAAAATAATTTGACGATCGTAGCTGGATGACTGTTAAAGAACATCCCAGATTTGCCCTCAAGACGCTTTCAGTCCTGTTAAAATAAAAATGTGTGATTATGTGAAGCATACTAATAAACAGTTAGATTTTCTTGAAAATTGTTTGTATAATAATAATAATAATAATAATAATAAGAATAATGACTTTCATTAGCTACATACAACTGAATACATGCATGATACAAAAGAAAAAATTTTTCAATTCCTAAATTATGAAAAACTGAGTTTGCCTGCCCCCCCCCCCCCCCCCCCCCCCCCCGAATTAAAATCCTGCGAGCACCCCTGCATTCAATTTGACAGCTACAACCCGTGGCGGTATCTCCAGACCCAGCCCAATTGCAGCGGCTAAGGCATGCATCAACAGTTGCATACCATATAAAATTTGTTGTATTTTTTGTCTTAATTAAACAGTCTTAGCTGCATTCACAACCTCCAATTAATGTTTATAATTAATGAGTAAATTATTACGTCAACTTTATCTAAAGGAATCATTCGCAATGCATGAAATTAATATGTGAAATTAGTATGTAAACAGTGTCGCCATCTATGTAACAGAGGGGTTAATACGGCAACTTTCACCATCTTGTAGCGCAAGCACAAAAATCGGGCCTAATCCTAATGCGACAAGGTACTTTTCTGTTCTCCACGTTAAGTACTAATTCTAACGATTAATTTTCAATAGTGTAAATGTTGCTCGTTAAAATACATAGCTTAAACGTTGTCGCTAATTTTGAATTGTTAATTGTGCGTATTAATTTTAAGGTTGTGAATGCTACTTCTCCGAATTTCGATTTCTGACAAGCCGGCTGGAGTTACCCGAAAGCAGGACTCCGGTAAGCTTACAAAATGGAGGTCCCTAATAGATATCAGTAATTTCCGCAGTTATAAAAAATACTAACTAGTTTTAAAATCTAATGAACAATTTATTGGGTAAGCTCTATAATTCGTCCTTCCGTTCGAATGCGTTATATAAGTCCGATATTAGTGAATGCCTCATTCGTATTGCACTGAATAAAACTAATAGGAAAATCGTATAACTGAACAGCTGATTAATTATTACATTAGTTCATTTCAAATAAATAGGTAATAATGCACGTAATAAATGCGCCATTGCAATAATCCAGAAAATGCACAAATTTGAATGGAACAGATGTAACGAACACCAGTAATTTGTATAATTCCCTCGAAGCTTAAGTGATTGATTTATTTCCAATAAATTGCCCCCTTAAATTACGCAACTCATCGGCTGTTCTGATTAAATATCGGGATTTTGTTTGCATAAATGATTGTAGCTAATTGCGATGTAATTTACGAAAAGGGCATAAATTTTATTCAAAGTGAATAGAGGCATTCTTTTTGTCCTGCTGAAGCGCAGTGGAGTAAATAAGGCGCGTAGTATCTTAGATATGTGCACCATCATTTCACCGGATCTATAATTCTAAAAGCTTCGTTGGATTGAATAAATGTCAAATTCAATGTTCCGTATTTCTGTCTTAACTCTCTCTTAACTCCCACAGGTAACGGTGAGTTTACTCAAGGTTACAAAATTTGTACGTCGAACAAGAACTGGTGTGTAACGTATAACGAGTCTGGAACTTGAACCCTAAAAGAAATCAAAGGTAACCCCCCTTCTTTGACGACATAAAATTTACCTACCCCTTAAATAAAACTATCCGTGCTGAACCCACGATTGTCAATGGAAATTACATTTCCTGTGCCCAACCAACTACCTGAAGAATAAAAATAAGTATGAAAGAGATATGGAACATAAATAAATATTAAAAGTTAAGTCCAGTAAAAAAAAATACGTCAAAGTCTGTGAGGCGAAACCGTCAACAAACGAACAATTTGGCAACGTCTAACCATGATCATCGGGGCCAATGTAAAATTTGAGATTGAACGGGCCAAGTGCCAAAAGATTTTCCCTTTGAATCTGTTACCTCATCGGGATAATCAATTTTACGGCTAATCGTAAATGGTCCTAAGAATTTGGGAGCTAATTTCGCAGAGTAATCTTTAGTGGCATCAGACAATGTTTTGTTTTTGCACCAGACCAGAGCTCATAGTTGACATGCCTACGTCGTAAATCATAATGTCGTTTGTTTTGGTCTTTAATGCGTGCAATGATTTTGTCGTGCAGTCCTTGTTGTTGTGCTAACCGTTGTTCTACGTCAAGCTGTCTCCGCGAATTCCAAATTCTTTCCCAAAATCAGTGCGATAGGGACTAACACCAATAGTTTCGTGTTTTGAGGTTCGAATCAGTGGATTTACCACACGATTCACCCTCTCCACAGAATCAGTCTGTGCGCGATAAAAGGGAGTACAGATTTACTCATAAAGTCGCTAACAACCAATAAATATCCGTTTTTGCTAACAGTCAACCATAATTTTGGAGAGGAGGGGTCGATTTATAGTAACACCGTTTTTTTTTAAATTGTCATAACACAGTTTTGTTAGTAATGTTACCTAAATCAATCATCCAATTATGGCGGAGGAAGGATACAATTTCATTTCTTTAATTAAATTTCAAAATTTTCATTTTAGTTTTATAGAAACGGCGGAATCCAAAATTCCCTATTCTCATTTATGGCATATCGTTGATCTTTTATATTCCACTAAAATTTGTATGCTTCCAGAAATAATTTGTATTGCAAACATTTGTTTTTAAATTTAAAACTTTCTGACTAACGGAACCGTGAGGATTAAACGCTTTTGTTTACGTTTTTTTTAGTAATACAGTTTAAGCAAACATTTCTTTTTAATCTGCGAATTTTGTAAGATTTTGATTGAAGCATGCTACAAAAGTGACAGATTTATACGCACTCGCCAAATATAATGATTCGTAATCGCTTTAGGTCCTAAACAAGAAATAACGCAACCGTGAGAATATTACCTACTTATCGTTGATAAATACGCAAAAAAAGGAGCTAGAACACAAGTTTAGTATCTAACATATTCGCGACATGCGAAGGCGGTGGTATAATAAATGAATTTTCATCATCAACATGCTCTGTAAATTTCCATTAGGGAAAGCAAATTGCAAGTCGACATTAATTTGGAAGTTTTACTATAAGATGGTTAAAGCAAAACTTATTTTAATTAACCTATAAAGCTCGGCAGCAAATTTGAGAGTAAATTGA